TGTACTCTGCCCACCACGGGTATCGAAACCCGGATTCTAGCGTTGTAAGTCCGCGGACATACCGCTGTGCCACTGGGGAGGCCTGACCAGAGGGAAAGCAGACCAACCAGCAGTACACTACTACTCTTTCTCTTACAATGCATCCACGGCTTAAAGTGTAGAAAATATTTTATGGTATCACATAGATTTGAATCCATCTCGCCAGGTCCAAAATCTAGAGTTTTACAGCAGGAACAAACTGTATCAAACTACGAATAAATACTAGAACTAAAGTGAAGAGAGCCCTTCCAAAATAAATAAATTCCAGCATATTTTGATTCTGTGCAGAATGATAGATTTTGCCTCAGCATTAGTTTCAAGACATTAACAATACGATATTGAGAATTAAACTGCTTTAATTCTAATACCCGTATTTGCATACTAATGTTTGATAATGTTTTTATAAATTTGTATTTCATAGTCTTTACTGTTAAAACAGCAGGACAAGAATCGAAGAAACACAATATTTTTTTATGGTGATAAACCGTGAAATGTAGAAGAGTCCTGTATATAATTTTCCTCCTCTTTTTTTCATTATTATATAAAATATTTCAGTTGTTAAGAGCAAATTAAAAACTTATGAATAATCTGGTAAATTCTGTCAAAATCTGTTTAAAGTATACCATTTAAAGTTTCATGATCTTTGAACGACATATTAAAAACAATGTAGAAAACTGAACCAATTAACAAAAAATGAGCAGTTCCATAAAAATGTTTAAGTAATGTGCCAACTCACATTGTTGTGTGTCGTTAATTTCAAGTCCTGTTCAAATAGCTTACCCCCGAGGGTAAGTCTGAAAGTTTATAAAACTAAAAACCAGGTTTTGACACTCGCGGTGGGCTGAACATAGTTAGTCCATTGCGTAGCTTTGTGCTTAACAACAAACAAACAAAATTCATAAAGCTTGTACATTTTGTTTCAGAGTGATTAAGTTTAATTTGCAATGTAAATCCTTAAGTTTTCTCCTTGATGCAGGCTTTGTGGTGAAGTCGATAAATCTATCTTCTTCTTTTTTTTAACCTGTAATTTTTGTAACATCTGACGAATTTAAAAATCTGCCATACTACATCTTTCTATAACTAGTAAATCAATTGTCTATCTTGCTATATTTAGGTAAATATTTCAAACTTTTATGCAAGTTTCATTAATTTACTACGGTTACATCCATGTAAACTAATTCTTTGTCTTAGATAATGGTTATACATCATATCAGGCACTCTTTAAAGACTTATACTTGCTTGACTGTGTTTTTGTAACATTGATCTCTAGTGTGTGAGTCAAACTAAGTTGAAGTGTATTGCAAATATTTGTACTACAATAATCAAGATGTCTGAAGAAGGTCGTCATCCTCCTCCAATTTTTGGAGGAAGATGACTGCTTTATTCAGACATTAATGTCATTTTATGGCACAGCAGATGAGACATAATTATAGGTATCTCTTTACACCACTGTTACACAATGGTAGTGATGAAACATATGTTAACCTATCGAAAGATGACAAAGGAGGATGTGAACCACTCACTTAACATATCAGGCAGGATGCTACTTGAAAACGAGTGCACTCAAAGATAAGTTGTGCAACATTTGATGTTGAGCTTGGATGGTCTAAAATTATTTGGATTAGAAATATCTGAGAACTGTAACATGGTTGTCACTGAGTATTGCCAACCAAAAACTGGAG